GACCGGAGCAAAGTGGTGCAATCTCGGCTCAATGCAACTTCTGCCTCCTGGGTTCAAGTGATTCTCCTGCCTCAGCCTCCTGAGTAGCTGGGATTACAGGGGTGCACTACCACACCTGGTTAATTTTTGTATTTTTGGTAGAGACGGATTTCACCATGTTGTTCAGGCTGCTCTCAAACTCCTAACCTCAAGTGATCTGCCTGCCTTGGCCTCCCAAAGTGCTAGGATTACAGGCATGAGCTACCCGCCAAGGTATGAACCTCTTTAATAAAATAAGATTACAGAGGGCTAGCGTCTGATCACCAGACCTCAAAGCATGCCTAAAGCTGTGGATCTGCTGCTTGCAGAACCTGTACTGCTTTTGTGTAAGGTCAACTGTGAGGAGTTACATCTCCATCGTTACTTCTAGGACATCCTCATGTTGCTGTACTCTATTTTTCCAGGAGAAAGAATAAGACAAAAATTAGTTAATAATACATTGCTAATACATTACACATTACAAATACATTCCCTGAGAACTGTGCTGTAAAGTTGAAGGGAAAGAAAAACTATTCAAACTTAAGACTTTTAAATTTCTGATGAGAAAGTAGTTGATTCTGCAGAGGACAATTTTGAAACGTGTTTTACATTCTTTGTATACATTTCAGCATCCCAGCTCTGAGCAGGATTGTGGCATTTTAAAGTTATGGCTTCCAGCTAATAACTGGAATGTGCCTTCCTGTTTTTCTCGTTCTGAAGGAAGAAAGTCACAACTGGGAAGTTACAGGGGCTCTAAAATCATGGGATTGCCCTGTATGCTTACAGTATCCCCGACAGTCCAAAGGCCAGAGCTTCTCTGCTGTGGAGTCAGGTAAATTCATGCTAAGGGAAAATGCAAAAAAATGTACTGCCCCTCCGCCGTCTCCTCTCAGTGAAGACTTATGGGAGTTAGAAGCATCTGGAAGGTGGAAATCTGGATTGGCTATCTTTTCAAAAAGATTTCCTCATATTAAATTAATTATTGTAGCTCCAATTTTCATCTCAAAAATCTTACATACATAATCTTACACACACAAAAATCTTACATAATTGGGCAAGAGGCATTGGAAGTTAACAAGTTGATACGGATCCATGGAAAGAAAGTGTGGAACAACCAAGGGAATTATTTTAAAGTGCCGTGCTGCTTTTGCTGTTTCTTTTCAAGTAGCTTTAAAATCTTGGAAAAATGAAAAAGAAATGAAAGAAGTCTTTAGGCAATTATAACTTGAAATCCTGCAATAATAAAATAAACATTCTTAATTGCAGGTCTTGATCATATTATATGGATGAAGTCTACATGCAGATTCCATATGACAGACAAAACATTTATGAGGAATATTTGGAAATATGATTTTGGGGTGGGTATTTGACATATATCTCCCTATTTCTTTCAAAACATGAATCACACTCTAAATTCTTTTTTAATACATTCCACATTTGGTAAACCCAAGTCAGCACATTTTAGTTTTTTTTTTGTGTGTGTGTGTGTGTGTGTGTGTGACAGAATCACACCAGCATAAGGCAGTGCCCTCTGTTTTAACCTTTACAAGGAAAGTAATCTTTTTATTATTTATTTATTTATTTTGAGACGGGAGTCTCACTCTGTTGCCCAGGCTGGAGTGCACTGGTGCGATCTTGGCTCACTGCAACCTCTGCCTCCCGGGTTCAAGCAGTTCTCCTGACTCAGTCTCCCGAGTAGCTGGGATTACAGGTGCCTGCCACCACCGCTGGCCAATTTTTGTATTTTTAGTAGAGAGGGGGTTTCACCATGTTGGCCAGGTTGGTCTCCAACTCCTGACCTTAGGTGATCCATCCACCTTGGCCTCCCAAAATTCTGAGATTACAGGCATGAGCCACTGCACCTGACTCAGCACATAAAAAAAATTTGATATGATACTAATATCACCAAAATGTACTTTGAAAGGGAAATTATAATAAATATTTGACTGGGTGCAGTGGTTCACATCTGTAATCCCGGCACTTTGGGAGGCTGAGACAGGAGGACTGCTTGAGTCCAGGAGTTTGAGACCAGCCTAGGCAACATAGTGAGACTCTGCCTCTAAACATTTAAAATAAAATGAGAAATAGATATTTTAAAAATCATATATATTTTGAGCTGTAAAAATATTGTAAATTAACCTTGGGGGAAATATTTTCATTTAGCATTTTGGTGAAGAAAAGAGGATTCTGTTTCCTGTAGGTTCTATTGAATTTTGGGTCATTATTAGATACGTAAATAGAGCCTGCTCTGGCCCAGACTGTGAAATCAGTTTCACTGGCTCTTTTTCCTCTACCTCTCTCTCCCACACCCCAGGGCATCTTCTCTAGTCCTTTACAACTGTTTACTGGCCTCTGCCTAGGACTCCTCACTTAGGGCTTCATCCTTGGAAGTTTCGTCTTATTTTTGCCCAAGCATATCATGAATACTTACCATCCTTCCGAAGACAGCAGCTCCTACTGCACTTCTGGCCAGTGCTTTCAGAATAATACTTCAAGAACTGGGCTCCCAGCTTCTGAGACTCCTCCAGATCGATTAGAAGACCTGGGAAGCGACGGATCCAGCAGTCTCTGTAAAAAACTGTGGGTGAGCAGAGAGAGTCTGACGTCCACCCCATGCTTAGGAGCAATATCACGTTAACTGCTACCACTGCCACATGCATTTTTCCTGTATGAAGGAAGACTCGAAGATAAGTCTGATTTCCAGACAGAAGCTGAATTACCGGAGTTTAGGACAGTCTCTGGAATGTCAGAGGTGTTAAGGGAGAGCTTCCTTGGAGCTTTTCTGGAGAGTCACTTTCTAGAAAAATAAGACCACTCTTTGACTGCATATTGATTTTTCTTTTGTTTCTTCCCAAGCCCCAGGTGAACATTTGATTTGCTGGCATTCTTTCTGAACACTTTCCAGGCTATTTCAATCCCCTGTCCCTTAGCATCTTAAGACGTGCATTCTCTTTTCTGCTTTTCTTCTTTCTCTGAAAGTGAATAGTCACAGACACCTTTTGCTAAGTAAATATAAAGACAAGTGGAAACCTTAGTCAAGAGGCTTTCTGAGGGAAACAATAAGTTAGTCACTTGACGTCAGATAAAGGAAGTATCTGTTTCATCATAAACAAGACATGATTTTGTGAGGGCACCTCTGTTTGATTTTTAAAGAACTTGTAACTGCAGATTGTTTTTTAAAAAAATCATCTATATTTCTTTGAATTTAAGTTCTGACATTCAGGGTCACTACAAAAATTTTTTTGCACTGGTTTGGGTTTTCACTCTGACTTAAAAAAAAACCTTGGCCAAGCACAGTGGCTCACACCTGTAATCTCAACACTTTGGGAGGCTGAGGTGGGAGATTGCTTGAGCCTGGGAGGTAGACATTGCAGTGAGCCGAGATGACACTACTGTACTCCAGCCTGGGTGACAGAGGGATACCCTGTCTCAGAAAAACCAAACCAAACAAACAGAAAACACTAGGAAAATGGTGAAATGTTTTTAAATTTCTAAATGGTAATAAAATCATTTCAATTGCAATGCCCGAACATTTGAAAAGGCAGTGAAAATGAACTCTTGCTTTTGTGAAAGTTATGGGTTTCATATCCTGTGACATCCAAGGTGACAAATTAGTTCAAAGCATAAAACTGTTGCTTTTTTCTATCCAATTTTATATGAAGCATTAGTGATAATCAGCTTTTGGCACAAAGCACTCTATTGTTTCTTTTAAAAAAGAAACTTTCTAATCTGTGATCTGTATTTCTTTTATACCTTTTTATACAATGACTCATTCACCACCTTGACACAAAAATCGTTGGCATTCTTTGAACATTCATCTCTTCACCTGTTTCCTAATAATAGTCAGTCTAGTTGTTACATATCTTTTTATGTTTAGAAACATATAATAATTGATAATGAAAAGGAAAGTAGTTAAGACTGAATAGCTTTAAATATGAAACACTTCATTTTCTTCTGAGCAAAAATTATATTATGCACTAACTCCTAACCTTGCCTAAGCCACACAGAATACACAAAATGATAAATATTTCATTCTAATGAACTTCGTATAGAAAGCAAATTTCAGTTGCTTACCTGCAAAGACTCAGACGATTCCATCTGATCAAAGGGATAGGGAAGAGAGGTTTTATAATGGCAAAGGAAGGAAGAGAAAGGATGAGTAACAAAAAATTACTCTCAATATTTTATGAGATTCCATGGTGATTTCTCTTAGAAGATGCCCTCGAGACATAAACAGGAAGGTCTACTCTCTAATCTTATGATCTTCAAGTCTTTGAGTCATATTAAATATAGGTTCTTTTGTGTGTTACCTAATTCCTTGAAGTTCTTGTGTTCCTTTCAGGGATAATGGAATGAGCCACAGTTGTTTAACCCTTTTGCTGTCAGAGTATATTTAAATAAAGATCAAAGTTTCATTTTAAAGGATCTACAAGTCTTGGCCAGGTAGGGTGACTAATGCCTATAATCCCAGCACTGTAGGGAGGCTGAGGCAGGAGGATTGCTTGAGCCTAGGAGTTCGAGACCAGCCTGGGCAACATAGGGAGACAGGGTCTCTACTAAATAAATAAATAAATAAAGCCTTGCAGGGGCTGGTGCTATTAAGAAACAAAAAACAAACAAACAAACAAAGGACCTACAAGTCTCAATGTAAAAGCATGCTTTAAACTTTTTTAAAGTTTTTTTTTGGAGATTGCATAAAGTCTGGAAATGGATAATTTCTTGGGGCCAAGTATTTTAAAAAGAAATGGTAGAAACTGGAAGGCAGAGGTTGAGGGAGGCATCCATAACAATCTCAAAACTTGTCCCTGTGCGCTGAAATTGCAGAAACCAGGAAGCAATGCAACTGAATCAAAAGTTGTTATAAGGCCTTGTTATCAAATACCTAAAAACTCTACACTGTTGCAATGTGGAATACATTATATTTCTTTCCAATAGGGTGCTCTTGCTATGCAGAGGGGTTCACAAATGTGATCTGTACTTTAAAAGTCACTTATCTCTCCCAACAGCCTGATTCAGTAGCTATTGAGTGGACAGTGGCCTTCTTATTTTTACAGGAGTCCCAGGTGATTTCCTAAGATGTTTAGGAAACACTGATATAGATAGATGACTGAAATAAATGGAAGTTTTACCTAAACAAGAAGGCTCAACTTGAATTAACTAGAGCCGTCTTAAGACTATGTACTACTTTTATCTCATTTAAATCACTCCATAAGCTTTGATGAAAGGAAGACACTTCAGTTTCGCTTGTTAAAAAACAGAAATAGGACAGGCGTGGTGGCTCACGCCTGTAATCCCAGCACTTTGGGAGGCTGAGATGGGCGGATCACTAGAGGTCAGGAGGTGGAGACAAATGTGGCCAATATGGTGAAACCTCATCACTACTAAAAATACAAAAATTAGCCGGGTGTGGTGGTGCATGCCTGTAATCGCAGCTACTCAGGAGGCTGAGGCAAGAGAATCACTTGAATCTGGGCACTCCAGCCTGGGAGACACAGCAAGGCTCTGTCTCAAAAAAAAAAAAAAAAAACCAGAAATAAAGTTGTGTTAGGAATATTGAGAAACTGAAAAAAACAAAGAGAAATAATTTTTAAATGGTAGTGAAGTAATAGCATAGCTTTAGTAAATTCAAGACATTTGGAAAACAGTCGATATTTCACCTTTATTTATTTATTTATTTATTTATTTACTTACTTACTTAGTTACTTACTTTTTGAGACTGAGTCTCACCCTGTGGCCCAGGCTTGAGGGCAGCGACGCAATCTTGGTTCACTGCAAGCTCCGCCTACCGGGTTCAAGCAACTCTTCCATCTCAGCGTCCCGAGCAGCTGGGATTACAAAAATGCAGCACCATGCCTGTATAATTTTTGTATTTTTAATAGAGATGGGGTTTCACCATGTTGGCCAGGCTGCTCTTAAACTCCTGACCTTAAGTGATCTGCCTGCCTCAGCCTCCCAAATTGCTGGGATTACAGGCGTGAGCACCGTGCCTGGTCACCTTTATTTTAAAATTGCTAGTTGCTTTATTTACTTATGTTTCCGTTTCATTTGCTGATAAAATTAATAAAAATTATTTTTTAAAAATGGTACCTGAAAACTTTAAATGTTATTTTTTCTTTAAAAATGTTTTTGCTTCTATTAAATTGACATATGGTCACTTAAATTCAAATCATGTAGAAAAATACAAAAAGAGAAACTATTCAAGCACTTACCATCTTAATAAACATCTTTCTGGATATTGCTATTTGACATATGAACTGTCAAAATACAAAATTACAACAAATTTAGTTTAAAGATCTTAATTGACTTTTATTTGTGATTCCAGAATAGGGCAACATCTCATTCTATAAAATCCAATCAACTGAGCAGAGGAGGTGGCTTTGTTGATGGAAAAGACCTGAGGAAAGCAGAAATAGAAAATAAAAAGCAGGGGCCGGGCATGGTGGCTCACGTCTGTAATCCCAGCACTTTGGGAGGCTGAGGCGTGTGGATCACGAGGTCAGGAGATCGAGACCATCCTGGCTAACACAGTGAAACCCCGTCTCTACTAAAAATACAAAAAAACTAG